ATGGCACGATAAATAAGTAGTGAGTTTGAGAAGTGAGTAGACCAGTCAATTTGCCTACATTTTTACAGAGGGTCAAAGTACAGTTAAATAGAAAACAAATTAGTTTCTAGCCAACTTTCCTAAACTCCAAATTAGAAAAGAGGTTCTCTACTCGCATTATGCAAGATTAACCCATCGGATCACAGTGTTTGTTTGCATTCTGTTATTTATTCCGAACGATGCGTAGACCTATTATACCATAGTCATCGAGCGAAAGACGAATTACCCCCAAAACAAGACCTGATTAATCAATCTATTCATAAGGTTTAATTAGGGTATTGTCATTCATTGAGAATAGAATCCATCTACTCAGAAACCATGAGCCTCCTGAGCATACTTATCTCATCTGTCTTGGAATCAGTCTTTAGTCTTTAGTTACCTTCGGAATGTCGTTGGTTCTTTAAATCCTCAATGCTCTCTAAACATGTATTGAGAACATCTTCACACTTTTTCAACTTAATCACAATCATGTTTCTTGGTAGACCTCATTCAGTTGACTGAGCCCCTTAATTCTGACTACACTTTCTTCTCATTGGCTGTAATCCTTATCTTTGGTACTTTGTAAACTATTTTTCTATCTATGCCTCCATAACATTAAGTAGGAATTATAGCTGAATTGAATTATTTTACAGTATAGGCCTGAGCCCTTTTATTCTGACTAGTCTTGCTTCTCATTGGCTGTAATCCTTATCTTTGGTAATTTGTAAACCATTTTTCTATCTATGTCTACATAACATTAAGTAGGAATTATAGCTGAATTGAATTATTTTACGGTATATTCCTACATTTTCACTACATTTATCATGCTAAACTTTTTTTTAAACTACATTTTATGTTATTTTTTGGGAAATTTTCTATTTTTCTATTAAAATGTTAAAAAGTACTCTTCTATTTTTGTTTTCGTGGTTTTAATTTTCTTTCTCAGAAATGATTTTTTTTTCTCTTAGTAAGAATAGAAATCCCTCAATAAATTAACCCAGTTTATCATTTTTTTTTTTTAGTTTTTAACATTGATTCGCATTTAACGTCTACTCATGGTAGTAGTTCTTTAAAAATGGTAATAAATTAAGTAGTTATTAAAGAGTCCTCTTCTCTTTTTGTTTTCGGTTGTTATATTTATCTTTCTGAGAACTTTTCTTCTCTTATAAAGAATAGAAATCCCTCATCATTATTTAGAATGATAAATTAACACACGTTTATCATTGCCCTTTTTTCGGTTTTAACCTTGATTCGCATTTAACGTCTTCTCAGTGAAAAGGGTTCTTCTTGTTCGTAACTTCTGTTTTCTTACCCATTTATCCATCGTACTCTGAACTAGATAGACATATTCTGGCTAAATGTTCGAATGTTAACGTCATGAATCCCTTTTTATAGCTCCATGATTTACATAAATCTTTTATCGTTACACCAGAGTTGAACTACGATGGCGAATTTAAAACAAAAAGACTTCGATGCCAAAGAGGATTACCCCAACTTCCAGGGTCACCACAGTCTTCTATCAAAATATCTGACAGAGGCCACGTACTGCAAACTGCGTGATCAGGAGACACCGTCGGGCTATACTTTGGACAAGGCCATCCAAAATGGCGTTGATAATTCAGGTGAGATGACCTTTAGCTATAAGCAAATTCGTAGTTTGAACTGCGTATGCCCATATCAAGGTCAATCGATATAATAAAACATACAGGTACATCTATAAACAAACGTACAACATAGGTTTATGTTGATTGATGTTATATACGGGCATGTGCAGTTTAAATTACGAATTGGCTTATTCATTTCTCAAAGATTTTGATCTTAAGCCCTGTCCAGACTTGGCAAATTTATTTGACAAAAGTATGACATGCCTAAATATGATCATAATGACATCACATCATGACCATGTATAGGCACATCATGACTATATATGGGCGTACAACAGTTTGGTTTTTTTTGTCAAAGAGAAAATTTGATAACGCGGACAGATCTTTAGGGCCTAGCTGGCATTTTAGGCAAGTGGCTGTGGACGGGCGAGCGTGTGGCCCGGCCAACTGATGACTGGAAAACAGATCATGAGATTTTTCTGTTTTTACAGTGTAACGCATTTTATATATATGGCGAGGATAGCTATTGGCGATACCAGAATATTTTAAGGCCTATAACGACATATACATTGGTTTCATTTTGCAGATTTCCATTTGGGACTTTTGGCAGGAGATGAAGAGACTTACTCTGTATTCGCAGAATTGTTCGATCCAGTTATTGAGGAGTATCACAATGGTTTCAAGAAAACAGGTAGGCCAGATACACCATTCAGCTATCAGACCAATGTTAAAAAGTCTTTTCTGTAAATAAGTTTACCGCTATAGTTTGGCTATGTCTTGTTTCGAATATAATCCCCCCTCCCAATTCTTGCTTCCGACTACCACTCAGTAGCTCTACAAGGCCACTTCAACACACCTTTTAGGGTTCCATCAATATTACTTGATAACTTTAGATGTACTAGATATGCTAGTGCCAATTATGTTATTTTCTACGAAACAATTAAATTGGTAATCCTTCAATAGGAGAGTGATACCCCCTTTTTTCCTGTACCGGTACTGTATTTCATCTCACCAGCAAATTTGTTTTCTTTCAGACAATCACGTGACAGATTTGTCTCCAGAGAAAGTAAGTGATGATATTTTGGATCCTGATTACGTCATTAGCTCCCGTATACGAACCGGTCGAAACATCAGAGGTTTCGCGCTGTCTCCTCATGTTGCTCGATCTGAAAGGCGACAAATTGAAAAGCTTGTTTCAGAAGGTACGCTAAAGCTCTAAATTAAAATAATTCTTGCTTGTTTTTTCTTCTTGACATGAGAAAGTTTTAATCGTTTGATAACATTTAAAGGTTTTTTTTCAAAGTTTCTTTGAGGCACACGACTTTTCACAAAATGTTATTAGCTTTTTTTTTTTTTTTTTTTTTTTTTTTTTTTGAAAATTGAGAATCTTAAATGGAAAAGTATGTGTTTTCGCCTATCACCATTCTGAACATAAAATTTGGTCTTTTGCACTCAACATTCCGAATTGACCGCCTCTTGCACAAACGGGCTATCTTGCCGAATTTAGCATTTTTCAACATGTTCAAAACTTTTCTTGATATTTTGAGCGTCTTTCTGCAAAATTTCGAATCTTCAATGAAACAGTATATATGCCTGTCTCACCATTCTGAACATCGACATTTTACATTTGCTCTCAACCTTTCAAGTTGACTTGATCACTTTCTGCACAAAAGTGCACTTTTAAAAAGTTTCTCGATATCTTGAACATCTTTTGCAAACAAATGCGAAAGTACATTAAAAAAAGTATTTGTTTGCGCCTATTCTGGTCAAATGTTTACTTTTGCAATAACCAAGCTGAAAAGCTGCCACTGTTAATGTATTCAAATATAGACAAAATTATCATATAATACAATAGTTACTTAATAGAGTCAACGCGAAGTACATCTAACTTTTATTTTCATAAATCAAAACAAATTTGGTTGTGGCTCTGCAATAGCATGAAGCTCAAATGGTCTTTAACTTATTTAGTTTATTTGATTGGCGGTTTCTTTCAGCTCTGTGTTCACTTGGTGATGAACTCACTGGAAAATATTACTCACTTCTAACATTGGCACCAGAAGATCAGCAACAGCTCATTGATGATCATTTTCTATTTGAGAAACCAATTTCGCGCCATTTCACAAGTGGTGGAATGGCACGTGACTTTCCTGATGGTCGTGGAATATGGTACGTTCAGAATTTATCATTTTTAAATAACAAAATCTAACTTTTACATATTGGACGAAAATCCAGGTTTCAAGATCGGCTTCTATAGAACACATAAGAGCTAACTTCCACGCTAACAATTACGTTATATGCCTAATATTGTTGCAGTATGGTATTCAAAACGTTTCGTAGAACCATAAATGACTAGGCCTAAATAACGTTGCTGAAACGTTGTGTTTCTGACAATGTTTTTGTCATGGTATATAAAGGACAAGGGTTCAGTATTCTAATTGCAACTGTATATTTAAATAAATAATTGTGGCTTTAACTTGGAAATTTGAACGAAAAAATATTTTCTGTGTAGGCACAACGACGAGAAGAATTTCTTGGTGTGGATTAACGAGGAGGATCATACACGTATCATTTCGATGGAGAAAGGAGGCAATATGAAGGCTGTCTTCGAACGTTTCTGCAAGGGACTGAAAGAAGTAGGAGACTTCATGCAAACATATAATAGTCCTCATGGAATTGCTAATTGAATCATGATGACAGGGGTTAATGCGCCAAGATTTGCGCGCCGGTGGGTCGAGGTTCCCGACGGGGGAGCTCGATGCCCCAACGAGGGGGCAGATCTCCCCGACGAGAGCAAAGTGCGCGTGGTCGAGCGTCGCTTAAAATGTTTCGAGAGTGGTACATGGGGCGGAGCCCCGAAAAGTTTGACAATTAAGTGGTTTAAAAGGCTTATTTTATCGGTTTTATAGTCTACCAATAGCCTATGTAAAAAATACATACAATTATTTTTTCTCCCCGACGAATTGTGGTTTTTCTTCCCGACGGTAGGGTGGGGGAGGGGGCGCTGGCGCCACCCCATAATGATGATGGTGAGGAAGATGATGATGATGATATTTGTAATGATGATGATATTGACGACATGATGATGACCACGACGATGACGAAGATATTGGGGGATGGTGGTAATGAGGATGATGATAATGAGGAGGATGAGAATGTTGATGAAATTGGTGATGATGATGGGGATAATGATGATGAAGTTGATGACGATCATGATGATGAATATGATTATTGTGATGTTGATGATAAAATAATAAATACAATATTATCATCATAATTAATATTATTTCAATTTACAAACTACAGTAGCAATAGTGAATATAACATATGAATGTAGATACATTGAGATTTATAATAAAAATGCTAAGGATGATGATAACGATAACGAGAGTTATATAATACATGATTATAATATCATAATGAAAATAATAATGTATATAGGCATAATGATGCTAATGTTTAGTGGTTAACTTTCGTTAGGTGGAGAAACACATTCAAGATAATGGCAAAGAATTCATGTGGAACGAGCACCTAGGGTTCATATTGACATGCCCCTCGAATCTCGGCACTGGGGTGAGGTGTAGTGTGCACGCAAAGCTGCCATGCATGGCCAAGGATCCTCGCTTTGGTCCAATCTGCACCAGTCTGCGACTACAGAAACGAGGGACAAGTAAGTGTGAACGCGGTTGATCGATATTCATAATGGCACGTATCGAGTCGATGTAACTAGACCTAAATAAAAACAAAAGCAAGTGGTGATATTAGACAAATCAGAAACAAGCAGAAATTTCTTACAAGTTCAATTATTTAATAAAAAATATTAAAACAAAAAATTAATCATTGCAATATAAAGAGCAAATAGTATATGTAAAAAAAAATATCAATCAATTTTTTTTTTCAATTTTGGCAAAAATTATTATCAAGCATAATTAAACTCAGTAGGCCTAATATTAATGCACGTGTCTACAATTAAGCCTAAAAAACATCTGTTTTATTTAATTTGCAGGTGGAGAATTCACCGAGTCAATTGGAGGAGTTTACGACATTTCCAATCTCGATCGGCTCGGTTCGTCGGAGGTTGAGCAAGTGCAACGCGTCATCGACGGCGTCAAACTGCTCATTGAGATGGAGAAGAAACTCGAAAAAGGAGAGTCCATCGATGATCTAGTTCCAAAGTGAGTTGCGTTTAACGCGATCAACAACATATTGATTTGAAAGAATAGCACTCATAATAATCAATGAACGTTATTAATATACACCGCTTGTAATTAATATACACAACAAATGTGCCTTTGGCCCAGTCGGTCATTCATGCGTTTGTGACAAAATTGTGAGATTAGTCCTGGCCTATACACCTATGGCGGCGCTAAGGGTAGGGGACCTTAACCCACTGTCAACCCCCTACCCCCTAGCCGAATAGCAAAAATTACGGTGTTATATTGGTTTATTGAATCTCAAAGAATTCTATTTGTTCGTATTTGTACGTATAGTTTATTGTAATCTATCAGTGTGGTATAAAACAATGATGTAAATTATATTATTTTGAATGATTAGCTCCATTTACCTACGATTAAATACGGTATTATTTTAGAGTACAGAACTTAAACCCCCCTTGATTTGAGTAATATTCTTAACTGTCGCTTTGCGTAAAATTCTACCTTAGATTCCAACATGTTCTTTTCCTCTGTCTTGCCACACTCATATTTTTAAAGGCCCTGGCACCGTAACTGGTTCGGTTCTGTAGGCCTACTGATAATAATTTCAGCTAGTGTATGATACGCAACTCTACTAATTGCTTTTTATTAAAACGATGATGGAACGCTTATATTTTATTTTTAATCGTTTAAATGCTATTTCTACAGAGGAACCGAGGAAGCAGCCTCCAAGGAATCTAAGAAAGCAGCAGCTGCAGCAACTGCAAAAGAAGGCCCACCAAAGGCAACAGACGACAAACCCGCACAACAGAACTCTGACAATAAACCTCAAAAGAAAAAGTCCTCCACATGCTCTCTACTGTAAGCACGATCAAAATCAAAACGAGCTTTTCTTCTGATGTATTCTTCGTTGTTTTCCCGGATAGCACAATTAACGGTACCATCGAAGAAGACCAATGCCGATGGCTGTGCATCTTACTATCTATGCGCTTCAGCACGCAATAAGCCTATGTTCACGTACATTAGGGCCTACTTATATTCTGTAGGATATTTTTTAGTTTCCTTCATTTTGTGGGCATTAGGAGAAGGGATTGGGTTAAATGAATGGAGGAATGGACATGGATATATATATATATAT